CGTCAAGGTCAACTCGGTCGACCGGCGCGGCGGGAAAGGCCTCACGAAGCTCATCAGCCTCGGCGACGGCGCGCACTTTGGCGAGCTCGCGCTCATGAAAGGTCCGCGCCATATATCTTGGCGACAAGAGAAAAACCAACCCATGGATAACTAGCCAATGGGCTGCGCTCGGCGACGGTCGTCACCACACAGCTGTGTGAGCTGCTCATCATTGCCGAGCGCGACTACAACAACATTTTGCGCAAATTGCAGAAAGAAGACATGTCCAAGCGCCTCGCACTCCTTGATAAAATCCCCATGTTTCAAAGTGTCGAGTGGACCAACGAGCTTCTCGAAGAGATCTGCTACGTGCTCGTCGAGCAGCGGTTTCCCGCCAACTCGATCCTGTACGCCCAAGGTAGGACGCCATATGTTGTGTGTGTTTTTAAGCTTTTTTCATTAGGCGACAAGGCAATGCAAATGTACTTTGTGACGCGGGGCGAGTGCGTCGTGACGCGCACGATCGTCGACCCCAAGACACAAGCATCGCACGAAACGACCATCGAGCGCTTGGGCCCGTACAACGTTGTTGGTGACGACACGTGGGTCACCAGTCTATATCATTTTACGGTGACAGTTACCGTGTTGATCTAGCGCAACGGGCACCAACTTCAACGAAGTCATTTACCGCGCCGATACGGTCACGACGACGACTCCGATTGACGTATGTCCCTTGGATCCTGTGCGACATTGTACATTTTCTCTTCGCGTAGGCCCTCGTGCTCACGAAATACGACGTGTTTAACCGTCTCTCGCGGGGCGCGCGCGAGACGCTATGGGGCCACGCGCGCGCACATAAGGCCGCCATGGTTGTTATCGACCAGCTGTACAAGTCGCTCAAGTGGAAGGCATATAAAGAGCAAGTGCTTGCGACCGAAATTGATGCGCAAAAGCTGGCGCGGCGCCTGCGCCACCGCCCGGCACCGTCGCTCGACCCAATCGCGGTAGGTTCTTTGCGACGAGCACAACGCGAGGAGTGGCTGCGTAGATGCGACCCAAGATGACGCTGCTTGACAGCAACGACTTGCTGCTCGTGACGCCGCCGACGTCCAGCCCGTCGTCGGCCATGACCACGGCCAAGTATACGACGCAATACAACCCTGACATTGCCACGGAAGACCGGTGCCACGTCATGGCGCTGGCGACGGCAACAGAGTCTCTCGACAGCGCACTGCGCGTCGCGGATGGCAATCCCGCCGCGTACTTGCGCTACTTGCACGAAAACCGTACTCGTATTGCTGTTTCCTTGGCCCTCTGACGATACATGAGCAGGCGAGACACCCAACGACGCAGTCAAAAGCATCATTAGCGAGAAAGATTACTTCTCGGAACACTATATCTTTTCGATGACGACGCCGCCGCTGACGCCCCGTCCGCCGCCGGCCAAGAAGTCGCAACATGCTGCCCGCGCGTCACGTGCCAACGTGAGCGCTCCGCCGCTTCTCGAGATTGCCCCGCAAATTGTCGTCCTCAACGTCGCCAACCAACGTCTCTCCTTTCCTGCTTGACGATGGACTGAGTCCTGTTATGATAGAGCTACAGCCCGTCGCGCCTCGCCCGGCGTTCCGGCTCGCGGGCATGTTTGCTTCGAAAGAAGCTGCCGATGGCGCGGCCAATGCGATCGCCGAGTACGAAGCCAAGCACGTGCGCAAAGGCTTCAAGGCCGAGCGTGCGATCGGGTACTACACCATCGACACGGGCAAGTATGTGCTCGCGCCGTCGACGCTCGAGTGCCTCCTCTCGACGTACTACTGCGACCAAGCGCTGCACCGCGTCGTCGACGAGCATACGGACTGGGATGCGTGGCGTACGATACGCTCCCTGCTTGTATCCTGTCGGTCGCGCTGAGATCGCGCGTACTAGGTGCCAAGCACAGTGCGCCGCGGCCCGTCACCGCCGATACCATTCAAAAGATACTGCACGACACGTGTGGCCACATGAGCGAGGTCAAGAAGAGTCCGCGTCCTTCGGTAGCGTCTATACCCTTGCTCTGCGTGTTGAGAAATCGGAGTAGTCGGTGGCGCGCTCGGTGCACTTGCACGACATTGTCGACGACCACATTCCGATCGAGCTCCGCGACGGCGGCAACTTTGCCTGCGTGAGCATCGTGCTCGTACCCAAGGCAGCGACCGAGCCCGTCCTCGCCGTCCACGGCTGCTTCAGCACCGAAGCCGACGCCATGGCGTTTGCCGAGCGCGGGTACCGTCTCCAGTTGTGGCATACTTGATACATTGATAGAATCGGAGTAGGAAGATCCATCAGCTCGTGGAGAGGGCCATGCTGTGTGTGGTCCCCATGTACGAGTGGGTCTTCTTCGACGACGCGGCCGAATGGTGCGTCTCGCTGCGCAGGTCGCGCGACCGCCAGCTCGAATTTGACGCGCTGAAGAAGCAAGTG